GAACTGAATGCGCGTCAACAAAAAGGATATGATGATGCCCGCCAGCGACTGGCAGAGATCGAGAAGGCTTACGATGCGTCTGTTCAGCATAGGCTTATGGTCTCGGCCTTGCCAAGCACGCAGACTTTGGTAAGCGATATCTGCACGTCTCGACTAGCTCACACTAACATTGCAGCTTCACTTCATACTCGGCGGGAATCCAACTGTCACGGATTGCTCGTCGCCCAAGCCACTTTCTTCAACACAGCCTTGTTCAGGTATTACCATGGAAGTGTATCACGCTGATGACCTGGCTCCAGTTGCCGAGGCACAGGGTCCGTATTGTCCAGCGCGACCTGTCTTCATTCCCACTTCTTCTGAGAAGAGACGGGCTGAAGATACGCCTAATAAGTCAGGGAAACGACTTCGCCGTGCAGCCTCGGCTATGGCATTGGCCGAGGAGACAGTCGGTAACGAGCTTTACGACGACGGAAACGCGAAATGCGATAGCAGGATCGTTCAGGACCACAATGGATGGTTCATATTCAAGTGCGAAGAACACAATCTAGAAATTCCGTATAGAGCGGCCTCAGTGGCTAGTTCTCATTTGGAGATCCACGCCCACGATGGGCCCTCGGCTGCTCTTTCGCCCATCACCCAGGCCTTGGGCGTTGTACCCACAGAATATGACGAAGCAAATGCCGAGCTGGACGACGTGGAGAGGGCACCGACTACTGGGTATGAGGCGTTGAACTCCACTACGAAACACGACGCACTCGGAAGCATGCAAGCTGGTGTGTAGATGCAAGTTGAACATGTGCTCGAAGTTCGCTAATATGCCCCAGTAGGTGACTACGACACGAGTGAGACGATTGGAAACGCTTGTCCAAATGACTCCAGCTCTCCCACAGGCGTTCGCCACGCGTCCGTCACGGCATCGCACACCACCTCTTAGCTCGACGATGCCGCAGAACCTCAGCGGGGCAGGCGGTGTTGTCGGTGCCCTCGGAAGCGACGCTTGCGGATATGAAGGAGGGCAAATAGCAATGCGAAGGTTCCGCCGAAGACCATTGGCGAAAAGGGGCATGGGATGCAATCATCGGGTATCTCGAAAGTCGGCAAGCACAATACTATGATGGACGTACTCTGCGAAAGCAGCCTCTAGTTCGGCAGACGGTTTGATGGGAGTGAGCCAAGAAAGCGATATTGCCAGCTTGGGGGGTTGGTAGCAAGCAAGGCCCGAGACTGCACGTAGGCATTGGCGTGGAGTCAGAGCAGGTTACGTGTTTCTGGCTATCGACGACGTTCAAACACGATCCGTCCAGGTGTCTCTATCGACGTTTCGTAGTGCCATAGTATGTAACGAGGTGTGCTTCTGGCACGATTTCGTCTTTCTACTGCCGGATAACCCTGCCTCTAGCCTCTCCCCGTCCCATGACCAGAGGCGCCCGCGACGGAGGAAAGCGCACAAGTCAGGTCGTCTTCTACAAGATCAGTCATCCAAGCAGATATTGCGGGCGTGACCAAGAACTAGAGAACCTGTTTGCCATGGTGGGCTGGCGCGCGGCGTGGGGCATCGTGCTAGCCTTGGCGGTCCACCCAGCTTCTCCCTGGCGTGGTGGCGATGTGGTAAGGCCGAGAGTGGAAGCCTGGGCCACAATCGCCGGAAAAGCGTCCCCGGAGTGGACCAGACAAACAATGTTTGCGCAAACCAAAATTGGCAAGACAAAAAACAGGCCATTGCGTGCTTCTACGTCCAACGTTCATCAAGCGCTGGAAGACACTGTTGATTTCGAGGCCGTTGGTACGCTGTGGATACACCCCGACCAGGGGCAAACTTGTTTGCCCTTGTTGATCTTGCCCCTGCGCAGGTTGGCCTTTATTCGCGAGATGCTGGCGGGCTTGAGTAAGGACCAGGGACTCCCAGTGCATGCATTGTGCACATGAGTGGAGTGCATTGGGCCGGCAACGGTACCCGCATGCCCAATCACGATTGACAACTCGGCCCTTTTTCGGTCCCCTTTTGTTCTTCGCAAGCTCGGGCGGGATGGTCTTGGATAGCCCATCAATGCAAAGGGCGAGATGCTCAACGTCAAAAGTTAGACCTTGCTATGTTTTCAAGTTTTTGAAAAATGCGTTTTCCATAGCATGACTGAGTTCAGTGGTGACGTGAAAATCTCCTGCGTCTGCCTTGTCATTAACTTTGCCTATCACCTGACCCTGGCTGTCTGCGCAAAGCCCATCGCAGGGATGCTTTTTCGAACCAACAAAAGCACGCATGCTAGGCACCGGGGGGTGAAGACCTGCGTCACTGTTCTGATTCACCGCTACATGCACTTTCATCAAACGAGGCATCGTCTGGAGGGCCGCTTCGGGGTTCAAGATGCCTGATCGCTAGGTGTGGCCAAATCCAAAACAGGCGTTGGGGACGCGGTTATGTTCTGTGATTGCATGGCCCTCATCTATGACAGGGGCACGTCGGCAAGGTCTTTTACACGCCCGCTTAATCGAAACTTCATTCACAACTTAGAGCCACCGTCACGCAAGCAGAAGGGCGATCAGAGCAGACAGATCGACGTGGCAATGGAGCGAGTCAATAATCGATGCCTCTCTGGGAAGGATGACAAGGGACCCGGCCATCTGAGGCGGAGACCTCGGCGAACCTGAGCGCTTGGCCGCTCAACGTTTCAAGTATTGAATCTGCAGACTCTACTAAGCCCATCGCACCAAGTGAATCACAGGGACGAAGATTCAGTCGCTTTCGATTTGACTTACGATTCATCATCCTCGAGAGTTTGATTAGCTTGCTGATCCGGGGACTCACAAACACAAAGCTGAAAAAAAAAGCAGTCTAATCTCTAGCCAAAGATCTGGAGCTCCTGTTTTCCGGATGTAGTACTTGTATAGGCGCAGGAAGTGCCGGCGTCATTCAGTTAGCGCTGTCAAGACGTTGCAAAGCACACCAAGCCTTGCCCCTTGACACGGTAGGTCTGGAGCCAGGGGACTCAAAGTCGGCGCTGCAAGCAGGTTCAACAAGACTTCTAAGATAGTTCCCAAAGTCAAAGCGAGACGCTGGGTCGGACACCATTGTGAGCCTACCTTTCGTCTTTCACAGGCTATCAGATCTATAATCAGATGTCTTGAGATTTGGACAAGATCTCCACGCGTCACCGACGCCTATTCACGTCGCTCAGCGATCGTATGAACCCTTGCTTCTGTTTTGTGAAGCCGTTCGTTATATACTAGTCCAGGTGGGACGAGGTGAGTGAGAGGTTCCCCACACCTTCAGTAGCAATCATTTGCCCAGCCACGGTGAAGAGAGCAAGGATATGGATATTGCTAGGTAACCAAGCTAACACAACTACCAGAGTGGTTCCGAATGATACAACACCACTGCATTGAGCATCGCTTGATCTTGAAATCTGCTTGGGAAAAGAGCGTATTGGATTTGCGGTGAGTAGGAAGAGATGTGTACCATTTGGGGAAGCCTTGTACAACGAAAAGTTGGCTGTCAATGATCTGTTCCCGCAGCTGTGGAAGAAAAACTATAAAGACCGATGATTGCTCCCAGCTCGTCTGCCAAAGAAGCTACCTTCTATACCAGAACACTCCTTTTCAAAATCATCCCCCTCACATTTCTAGATTCACGGCCAAACGTGCGGGCTTTAGCCTTACATAGAGAAGAACAAGCCAATAAGAGCGGTGCGCTCACAAAGGCTCGATTGGTTTCTCCGACCTTCTTCCATCGACGAAGGTGCGACATACCTTCTTTCTATCTTGCCACATGGCCATGGCCTTTGCTCCTTGTCTCAGCTAAGAAATCTAGCAGTTTCTCGCGCACAGCCGATACATAGTGGCGATATCACAATCGAAGTCCTACGTCTAAAATACGAGTAAATAAGGGCTTTGGGGTCAGCTGAAGCGAACCAATCCCTAAATCATGGACAAAGATGCTAAGGACGATGAAGAGAAGCGTGGGGCCGTGAGAAAATCGCAAGCTTTGCTTGAGCGAGACAAAGCGCTTCAAGAAAGAACAGATGAGTTGTATCGGGGCATCCATAACGCCATCAATGTACTTCAGCGTGCAGGTTATGGAAGCGAGGAGCGGCTTTTAGAGTTGCGCAACCAACACATCGCCGCCCAGTGGATCGCCACCCAACAGAGTCGGATTCTGCAAGCGTCGATAAAACAACGATTGAGTGAATTGCAGCGATAGATCGATAGCAATCTACTTATCGTACTGTTAGTTGGGGATGGTCAATAGATCAAAATCACGTCTTATTTCATGTTCCAATCGGACCATCTTCTGAGGCTAAGGGGACGAGAACCAGAGCGATGAGCTGAGCGTTGGGTCAGTGGCGGACGCTTGCACGCCCGGAATTCTGTACATTTTCCAGCCTTATGACCGATGCAGATCTGGGACGACACCTATGGGGAGCCTTGTTCGGACCGACATGGAGAATTCCTGTTGAATCCGTAGATGATAATGTGCTCCTCCGACATCGGGTGACTGTCCGTCAAAATGAAGAATGCCAAGCGAAATCGAACACGAGAGGTTGACAGCCAGAAGGTGATATAGAAGTCTCATCTCCAGTTCCATTACTAGGGGTTTACAGAGTCAGGTATACATGGCGCGAGAATACTTCATGCTGCAAAATACAAAACACCACCTTCAGGCATTAAGCACTTTTACAGGCACCGCTGAAAAATCAAGCTGCGGTCAACTTTCAAGCAAGTCTCTTTCCTCCTTCCCCTCCCCCTCTGGACGTTAAGATTATAGTTTATTCGGAAGATTTCTTTCTTATGTCTCTTCATGTGTGGACCGCTGTTTCGGTTTGCCGCGGGAGACCGACTGCAGGCTTGGTTTTTCCCATCACACGAGCCCAGCGATCGAAGCTCGTCGCGTGGGAAAGCGTGGGTCATGGGCCGGCATGTCATGCTGGTCTAAGATATTATCCCATTGGCGTTGTTTGGTACATGATTGATCAAGAACTGTTCTTTTTTGGGACAAAACTGGGAATTCAGACCGCGATGAATAGATGCCATGGTAATCTTGAGGTTGTTCTCGTTGGATCATCTTGGATCTTTTGCAGATTCGATATATGAGTTGGCTGGTGTTGCTACGTATAAATGAGATGGGCATGCCGTCCTGAGGAGCTCATATAGACAAGCCAGACTCTAGAAAAGCTCTTCGCCGCTGTCGTCGCTGCAGACTTGGACTTTGGGAGCTCGGGATTGGGTGCTTCTTATCGGTGACATCACTAACTAAATGGTCGAGTCTTGGCCCTGAACCCTCTGGATGGCACTCGATGCGTGTTTGCGCTCTTCGAAGTCGCCGTGCCTCTGTCAAAATTTTCGCAAATGAGATCATCTTATCTCTCCACGGTACGCAGTGTGTGTTGTCGCAGGTCAAGTCTGAGGGATCTCAGGCCGGCAATCTCAAAGAAGTGAATGTGTTCAAGGAGTTTCTCGCAAAACGATCAGGCCAGACACAGGTCGAGGAGAATCTTCACGCAATATGGCATGCGATGTGTCATTAATTCTTGAAAGAATTTCCAATGCATGAGCTGAGCGTTTGATGTACCACAACTTGTGTCTATCTAAAACCTGTTCGCCCTATTCAGACCGCCCTGGCTTGTGTGCCGCAAGGGGTGGTTTTCATACCTTTGGTCCCCATCACCATCATTGGCACGAATAAAGATAACGTTTTTTCTACCGCAAAGGCACGAAAGTGTATTTAAACGCGGCTGAATACCACCTTGATACAATGTAATGATACTTCATTATCAGCGGAGAGACAGGCTGTGTTCAAGAAATGTTTTGAAACGGATGAAGACTGAAGACATGATGACTTTGGCCCAAATTGGGTATGGAGTTTGCATTCGTCTTCAGAGGCATGTGGTTCCTCGTTTACAAAGCACATTGGTCTCTCTCTAACCGCCCTCGCGTATCTCCAGATGACGAAAACTCCATCAAAGGTCTTTTCCGTATAGACATGGCTTCATTTCATGACATAGTTTTATCGTGGCGTTATGCGCAGCCCAAGTCCCGGACATCGAAGTCAAAGTTGACCAGACTATTGTGAAGATACTGAGACTTCTCAGCATCTATCCTTGGCGTAGGCACAAATGTCGCGACGCTGACTGTCTTGAGATGCCTTTATCAAAGAATCGCGCATGGTTGCTTCTGTATACCAAAGGCGAGAGTGGGTGAGATTGACATCCTTCTCGGCAGTGGGAGACACTTCTTCCGTTCGTGACACAGGAACTCGTCTAAACCACAGTCCTTTCGGGCGGCTGTGACTGTATAACTCTGTTCTCAGTTACAGGTGGCCTCCCTCTTGCAGTTGGGGCACGGTTCTGCAAGCGCCGTCCACGGAAGAAGGCCTAAACACAGAGAAGCCAACGACTTGATACTCTTGATTTATGCGTTGGCCATCGATGCTCACATGCATCGAAAGGAACACCTTTCCAAGTGTTATAGCAGGATCAAGGGCATCATTGAGAAATACAAGTTTGATCTGGCAGGAAATGCAACGGTTGAGCAAGGCGATGACCTCGAGTTTGATACTGACAGTGTTGAGTTGCAGTACATCTCTGAACATGATGACGATCCCAAAAGCTTGTGGGCTTAGTTCCAAAGCTGTATCAAAGTCTCACGAACGAAAAAGATATGCACACACACACACATACACACACACACACACAAGCATGTAGACGAGACGGCCTTTGTCACTTCGACCACAACAGAAAGCCGCGTCCATAAAGAAGCAATCACGGTGACAGTCATCAACGCATGTTCAGCATGTGTCTTCTACAGGCCCTAACTTGAGCTCAAGTGGCCGCGAGCAGGACAAATCCAACAAGATGTACGGACAACAAGATGTGGTACTGGAAGCGCAACATGCCAGACCTGCCTGCCCCTGAGTTCCCACGTCAAGCAGTAGTATGGTACTTTGCACCACCCGCAACCCCAACCCATAGAGTTGCAAGAGCTATGCCTACCTACTTTCTTCAAAGAGACTAGATAAGTATCTAGCGGCACGAAGAAAAGCAGATTAAGGGCGGTTCAAATGCCTCCACATTCACTGGTCTAGCGCCCTCCCAGGCCATGGCCCAGAAGTCTTTGCTTTCAAGGCACTAGGGACTGTTTAGCGCCCAACGTCCGTCGGTAGATACGGGGGTTCGAGCCGAAGACTTTACCATTGACCTAAGCTCTCGTGGCTCCTCACCAAATGCAACCGGGGCGTTCTCCGCTGGAACCGAGCGGACCAGCACTCAAAAATCCCAACACTATATGTCGACACTGTGGCGAGCAACGAGCGATACTGCAGCGCTTGACGCCCCACGGTCCACTTTGCCTGCCGGAGCCTTGCGAATCAGCGATAACATGTGCCTAATTTTCGCCTAATGTCAACCCCGCTCAGAACCGTATTACTGCATGTACATTGACACTGATGATGGAGGATTGTTGACGCCTCAGTTTTCAATGCAGTCAGGCACTTCCGCGCTGACTTCGGACATAGCACCATCAAATACACCCTCGATAATCACTTACGCAACAATCGCGTGTTTCTCAATATTGATACCGAGCGAACCGTCGCTAGTATTTAAGATACAAAGCTCCAGATGGGTCGCAAACATGCGCTCAGTGGGTATTCTTGAACGAAGCTACGGCAAGTTTAAGCTCTGCTTTTCAGTATCTGTGGTCTCTTCCTGAGCTGATCGTCCAGGGAAAGCATTGGTATACTTCGTCACAAAACGTGAGCAAGCGAGAAGATGTCAAGCAGGCTTGCTTCTCTTGACGGGCTGTCTCATATGCGCAACATTATCTTTCCTTCCCGGTGACGGCTAGAAAGCTTTTGAAGAGAACAACCTTGAATTCAACATTTTTTGGTGTTGGTTTACCGTAATGGGTGCAGGGCGTTACCTTGAATTCAAAAGACATTGGCAGACCGATAAAGTGTGCTGTAGTCACGCAAGAACCTTGCTAAATTACGATCGGTAAGTAGTCCTTCGTTTTAGAGTGCAACCGAGATACGCCGCACAGGAACATATGTGGGCTTGAGGAGAGTGTACGCGGTGCATCATACACATTTAACCATTAGTATGAACACATGTTCCTACCATTTAATAGCCCTGAAAGATAACCAAAGTGGAACTTGCTCCTAAAGGGCATGACAAGCCCCTGGACTCATCACGCGCAGATGAGGAGAGCCGCTCCCTATGACTTCCAATCTTTGCTTGCGGCTCACCTCCAGGAAGCCGGAAGCATCTCCATGAGTTGCTAGATAGCCAAAATAGCTGTAATGTAACCTATGAAGCAGGTAAGGCTCACAGACAGATTACCACCGTTCCTATCTTTAATTCTTTCCAGTCTCCTGGTGCTAGAATGGAACATCAATTCGGCCAGGTAGTGGACGTGCCTGAGCTGGTATCGCAACAGTTCTGTGCTTGCGTCTTGTTCTGTACATTCATAGTCAATACACTCAACCAGCCATGATTGAATATGGTCGATGTGTTCTTGCAAGTACAGCCAGAACTTGACCAGCGATTGATTCTTAAGCCGAAGCTCTTTAGGTGTCTGCGGTGACGCGCCGACTTCGCAATGGTACCCAGTGGGAGCGATATTGTTGTGATTGAACTGATTGCAGCCCCCTGAGTTCAGTTTGTTCGAAATTGGTCGCACTGTCGTCTCCATTCGTCCTGAGGAAGTTATTAAAAACCATCGTAGCAGTTATGAAAGCTTCTGAAGTTGCAGCCCCTGGTTTTACTGATCTCTATGCGTTAATAACCACGAATGTGACAAACTCTCGATCATTCCCAGATGCCAAAATCATCTGTATTGGTAGCAGGAGACACTTAAATGATTCAATAAATCTCTCTATGGTTCACCTATACGTACAGTCATTTCATACGTCGACTAGCTAGCCATCAGAATGGTGTGGTCTCGTCAAGCTTTTACTACACAGGATATCAGAGGCGTTTTCTACTTCCATCAATCACTTCTAGCAAGTTGGCTATCTCCGCGATCTTCTTCCTTTCCGGTAGTATCTGAAAGAGAACGCAAGACTCATGAGACTTAGATCAAGATTCCACGTGGTCTCTCATCACAATGATTTCTCCTCTGCCGATTCCGCGCCCACTGTCTCTGGTACTCTTCAGATCTTTGGGCTTGAATCTTTTCACTAGACCGGTTGGTTTCTGCTTAATATCCATTATTTCTGCAGTAAATACGTAGTCATTCAGCTCACGCCGGATTTTCTTGATCTTGGGAGATTGATGAACTGCTTACTCACATCACCTTCGGCATAGTCTCCAAAAGCAGACCCTCTTCTCTGCAACTCTCCACGCTCTGAAAAATGCTCTGTAGGCTCAAGATTTGCTGGAAGATAAAGGAAGTCTGCTGAGTTGTTGGCTGAAGACAATTTAGCCATATAGTCATTGTGTACTCCGGTGTTGGATTGCGTGATATGTTGCGATCGTACTACCTCTGTATGGATCCTGGGGTTCAAGGGTATCAGAATCATATCTATCCTCATATTTGCCCCTGATTAGAAGAATGACCGTCCAGTCTTCTCCCTAAATCTCTTTGGGCCATATACATGCCTCCTTGAGAGACAAAACCTTCACCCAGCAGCAAAGCTCTCCAGATCACTTCCTTTTTTCATCGTTTGACGTTCTATCGATTCGCCAGTGACATGATAGAACTCTTTGACCTGCTGGGAAACTCGGATGTTGACTGCGTTGTCCTTGATATTGAAAGAAGCGTGGTTTTTGCCATCTGGGGTGCTAATTTAGTAGATATCATCTCAGAAGTCAGTGCGCTCCAATGTACCATCAGCTAGAACTATCACGATCAAGAACTTAAAGTTACTGAAAGTAAGAGCTATGTCTCATTCCCCTGAGATTCCGTATCCTTCTCATTCTTTTCCAACAACCTACTCATCAACTCATCTTCTGGTCTGGACGAGACTTACACAGAATTTCCGGGTCTCATTGTTTCTGAAGCCCTCGTTGATCAGGCTTGCAGGCCAACTTCGCTTCTCGGTTTCAACATCGTCTCCTATTAAATTCGACGTCCTAATCATATTATCAGAATGAATAATCAGGGAGCTGTGGTTGCGCGCGAACATACGCTGTAGCGAAGTCCGCTTGTGGAGAATGCTTAGAGTCGAGCCTTAACAAACATTGGGTTGAGCTAAGATCTGCTACCCAATTCAGGTCTGTTCATACATGTACTTAAGCTGGGAAGACTCAGGAAGCCATGAATGATCCAGTAGAGTTCTTGGCAAGTAAAACTGGGCTTTGGGACGTGAAAATTGCCCATAAAGGTTCCCTCCTTGCGTAATGCTCATTCGAGCCACAGGGGCTGTGAACTATAGGCTTACGCCATTATGACGTAAGTCGATGTATAAGCCTCAGGCCTGCTATCTTCAGACACGACTTGAGAAGTGGATCTTGTGAGGCCGGCAAAAGCAATTTTGCCGTAAGTGTTAGAAGTCTGTTCGACTAATACAATCTTGGCCCAAGTTGAGGGTAATAGAAGCAGAGAAAGTCCTTGACGTCTTCAAGGGGTAAACAAAGGGGTAAAAGCTGCCGCACGCTTTCTGAAAGGCTTGTTGCAAATGAAAGCCTCTGGCTGATGCCTGACAGTGGGATCATAACTCATCATGGAGCATGAGATGAATGGTGTGAAATATTT